AGGCGTGTGCCCCCATATCCAGCAAAAAAGTTGTTCTGTTTAGCACAGGGATGAGTTTTTATTCTTCTCAAACTCTCTTTCTCTCTGGGTATCAAATCCAGGACCTTGCTCATTACTAGGCAAGTGCTCTACCACTGAGCTATAACATCAGCCCCCTGGAAATTTATTTCTAGGCTACCTTTTCACTTAAGCAAAGTAGAAATGTTAAGTAATGCATATTTGACCCCCAAAATGTTCCCTGAACTTCAGTTTCCATACACAGACAAGAGAGTTCTGTCATCCCAATTTACCTCTGTTGGGGGAAACATCTCTTTCTGGATTTAGCGTACAATCTGGAGCTGAGGGAAATGGGTTCCAGGATCTTCTCTGGATATACAAATCTGAGGATGCCCAAGTCCTTATGAATATAACCCATGTATGTCCTCTCATATACTTTATTTTACAAAATTAAAAAAATTTTTTTGTTTTTTTGAGACAGGGTCTCACTATCCAGTTCAGGCTGGCCTTGAGCTCACTTTGTAGCCCAGACTAGCCTCAAACTCGCAACTATCCTCCTGCCTCAGCCTCCTGAGTGCTGGGATTACAGGCATGTGTCACCATGCCCGGCTCTCCCATATACTTTATTATTTATTTATTTATTTTTTTTGGTTTTTCTCCGGTACCGGGAACCGAACTCATGACCTTGTGCTTGCTAGGCAGGCGCTTTGCCGCTGAGCTAAATCCCCAGCCCCTTCTCCCATATACTTTAAATTATCTCTAGATTACTTATAATAATATGTAATACAGTATCAGTGCCATGTAAATAGTTGGTAAATGAGACTGTTTAGGAACTGATGGCAAGAATTAAAAAGTCTGTTACATGTTTAGTATGGCACAAATTTTCCATTTGGAATATTGTGGATTTACGACTGGTTGACATCTGCAGATGTGGAACCTGTGAACATGGAACCCATTACTATGAAGAACTGCATTTACTCCAGCGCCAACCTACTAGTCTACACAGATAGTGTCGATTTTTTCTTTTCTTTTCTTGTCTTTTTTTAAAAGACAGGGTCTTGTTCTTATAGGCCAGGTCAGCCTTGAACTCACTCAGCCTCCCATGTGCTGGATTATGTGCCACCATGCCCAGTCCATCAATTTTTTTCTTAAAGACTCTTAAATTAACATACACCATACAAATGAAAACTCCCCTTAATCCCTTAAAATTGTGTCTTTTGGGTGCAGGATCTTATTCCACATTTCCAGGGTATAACACAGATGTGTATTTTCTTGGACCCTTTGCAGTTTATTTTCGCGCACTTTCTACCATAGTGTTCATCTTTCCAGGATGAACTGTGCCCATGTCAATCTGTCTTGACCTTGGACTCTTTCCCCATCAGGTTTCTTTCTTTTTTTTTTTTTTGGTACTAGGAATTGAACTCAGGACCTTGAGCTTGCCAGGTAGATGCTCTGCCACTGAGCTTATCCCTGCCCTCCATCAGGTTTCTCCTCAGCTGTAATCAACCACAAATAATGTGGCAGGTTCTTTTTGGCAGTACTGTGGATTGCACCCAGAGCCTTCGCACTGAGTTATATCTCATCTTTTTTTTTTTTTTTTTTGAAACAGGGTATCAATAAGTTGCTAAATTGTCCAGGCTAGGCTTTAATTTGTGATCCTCCTACCTCAGCCTCCCAGACAGATGGGATTATAGGTGTGTGCCACCATACCTGAATCCATGGTAGATTCTGGTGTTGCTGGGATGTATCCTGTTTTCCACTCGGGTATCACAGTCAGCATGTGGTTTCTAGCATCATTTCCATGTGCTTGGCTTTCTAAAATCTATGGTGGCCTCTAGGGGCCTAAATTCCTTCTCAGATAAAAGATATTTCTGGATTTATCATTTGATATTAATGAGATGATTCAGCTCAAGACATATCCTATCTTGCATACCTTGTCCATGCTGCTGCTTCTCTTCCTCCTTGGGCTTAGGAGTTATGTTAGTTTTTTCCTGGGGCCGTGACAAACTGCCACAGACTTATCTTTCAGCTCTGGAGGTTGGAATTCCAAATAGACCTCAATGGGTTAAATTCAAGGTATTAACAGGGCGTGTTCTTTCTGGAGGCTCCTGGGGAGAATCAGAGTCCTTGCCTATTTCAGCTTCTAGAGCTCATGTGCATTCCTTGGCAGCTGGCCGCTTCCTAGTCTTCACAGTTGGCAGTGCACCAGGTCTGAACCTCTTTCTAATATTCTCTCTTGTGCCTCCCTTTCCGCTTACAAAGAACCTTTGTGAGGACACTAGCTAACAGGATGGTTTCTCCATCTCAAGCACAGCTGATTAATAACTATAATTCTACCTATAACTGCCAATTTTCTTGTCTAAAACCTAACATACTCTTAGAGCCTGGGGATTAGGATATGGACAGCTCTAAGGACTAATATACTTACCAGAGGGGTTATTCTTGTTTTGTTTTGTTGTGTTGAGACAGTCTCACTATGTAGGGCAGCTTGGCCTTGAACTCATTTATGTAGTCCAGGCTGCCCTCAAACTTGGCAGTGATCCTCTTGCCTCAGCCTCCCAATTGCTAGGATTATAGGTGTGTGCTACCACACCTGGCTATTCTTTTATTTTTATTAGTACATAATGATTACATTCATTGTGGGGAGTTGGTACATGTACATGACATATCTTAATTATTTTTTACCCCCTCCCCCTCCTGCCATCTCTTGGACCCCTCCTATCTATCTATCTATCTATCTATCTATCTATCTATCTATCTATCCATCCATCCATCCATCCATCCATCCATCCATCCATCCATCCATTCATCTATCTATCTATTGAGACAGGGTCTTGCTCTGTAGTTCAGGCAGGTCTTAAAATCACTATACAGTCCAGCCTGGCCTCAAACTTGCGGTGACTCCCCTGTCTCAGCCTCCAGAGTACTGAGATTACAGGCATGTACCACCATGCCCAGCTTTTTTTTGGGTACATTCTCTAGAACATGATCGTCATGTTTTCCTAGGGACAGAACACATCACAAATCAGAGGACATATTCTTTTTTTTTTTTCTTTTTTGAGACAGGGTCTCATTATATAGTCCAGGATGGCCCCAAACTTGTGGTGATCCTTCTGCCTTAGCCTCCCAAGTGCTGGGATTACAGGTGTGTGCTCCCACACCTGGCCCCAGAGAGGTTATTCTTATAGGAGGCTTTTCATTATGAAATAGCTCACAGCTATACCATGTAGGAACCAATAGGTGGCAGGCTCATTTTCAAGGGGACACAGGCTGCCACTTCCTTAATCCACCCTCTACAGTAGATGGAGGGAGGAAGGAACCCCCTATAACACACATCCTGTTTTCTGAAAGCACACATGGCTCTTCAACCAACACATGGGATGCCAACAGCTGGAGCATTTGTACACGAGACAGGCAGCTACTCACCACAGCTCTTAAGGTCTAATACAGAGGCCCCTTGGGATCCAAATATAGATGCGTGCACACAGGTCCCCACTTACCTACATTATCCAGCTTCCTGAGGTTTGGGTGGCTGGCCTGGTACTTTTCCTCCTGTTCTTTACTTGTACTTATGGCTTCTTTCAATCTTTGGATAAAAAGAAAAGAAAACATTTAAAAAGAAAAAATACTGCTGGGGCGTGGTGGCGCAGCATGTAATCCCAGCACTCGGGAGGCTGAGGCAGGAGGATCATTTTGAGTTTGAGACCAGCCTGGGATACAAAGTGAGCTCAAGGCCAGCCTGAACTGCAGAGCGAGACCCTGTCTCAAAAAGACAAAAAAAAAAAACAAAAAAGAAAGGAAAAATACCTATGACAGTGTCATCAGTCTTTTCAACTGATGCCTGTGAACTGAAAATCAAATGCCTGCCCTGTGCCAAACTCTAGACCAAAGCAGGGATCCACGGTCCCTCTTAGGAGCATAGTCGGCTTCACGGCAAGCTTCGGAGGATTTCTGTCTCAGAAGTGGGTGCCCCTTACATAGGCAAATGAGGACTCCTGGGACCAGGTGAACGAAAAGTAGATGAAACCACCAAATGGGTACTTTAGACCAGGGCTCCGCAAATTATGACCTGTGGGCTGAAGGTGGCCCACCCTTTTTTTTAAACCAATTTTTAAAATTGTGGTAATAGGTGCAAGTGCTTGCCCAGCAAGCACAAGGTCCTGATACCAAAAAAAAAAAAGAAAAGAAAAGAAAATAAAATTTTGGTAACATATACATATAAAATTCCATCATTTTTTGTTTGTTTTTTTGTCTTTTTGAGCCAGGATCTCGTTATGCAGTTCACGCTGGCCTTGAGCTCACTTTGTAGCCCACGCTGGCCTCGAATGTACAACAATCCTCCTGCCTCAGCCTCCCGAGTGCTGGGATTACAGGCGTGCGCCACCACGCCCGGCTCCCTCCATCACTTGTTTTTGGATAGCCACAAGCAACAAATGGACTTTACAGACAGATGACCACTGCTGTTGTACTGGATAACAGGGAACATTAGTTTTGAACCTCAAGAATTTCATTTTCATTGGATGTGATGGCACATGCCTGTAATCTCAGAACTGAGGAAGGTTAAGGCAGGAGGACTGTAAATTTGAGCGCAGCCTGGGCAATTTAGCAAGACCCTGTCTCAAAACACTTAAAAAAAAAAAAAAAAAAAAGGGGTTGTGGATGTAACTCAGTACAAAGGCCTTGTATTCAATATCCAATGCTGGAGAAACAAAAAGAAAAAGAAAGAAAAAGAAAAAAAGAAAAAGAAAAAGAAAAAGAGAGAGAGAGACAGAGAAAGAGAGAGAGAGAGAAAAAGAGACAGGAAAAAGGGAGGGAGGGAGGGAAAAAGAGAATGAGAGAGAAAGAAACTCATTTTTCTCAGTAGTAAAGCTGTATTACCAAAAACTTATACTCTACTACTACTACTTTTTTGTCATTGTTTTAAGACAGGGTCTCATTGTGTAGTTCAAGCTGGCATTGAATTCACTGTAGCCCAGACTGTTCTTGAACTTGAGGCGATTCTTTTTCCTCAGCTTTCTGAGTGCTAGGATTACAGGTGCGTACCACTTTGCTGGCCTGCATTTATATATTGGAGTTTGTCACTAAAAATTTTTTGTTGTCTTTTTCCTCTCATTATATATGGTAAGTCCTTTCAAAAGATCTTTGTTGCTTCCTGACCCACAAAGCCTTACTTGGTGACTCTGACTATAGACAGGGACTTCTCTTGGGACTTAAACATTGACCAGACTGCCTGATACACTGCTGAACTTGCAGGAGCAGGCAGGTGCCTCCATCTAGGACTGGGGACCCCAAATAACCTGTTCTTCTCCATCTCTACTCAATAACAGCCTGCCCACAGTGTGTGTGTGTGTGTGTGTGTGTGTGTGTGTGTGTGTGTGTGTCCCAGGCTGGACTTGAACTCCTGGTCTCAAGCAATCCTCCTGCCTCAGCGTCCCCCCAAATAACCTGTTCTTCTCCATCTCTACTCAATAACAGCCTGCCCACAGTGTGTGTGTGTGTGTGTGTGTGTGTGTGTGTGTGTGTATGTGTGTGTCCCAGGCTGGACTTGAACTCCTGGGCTCAAGCAATCCTCCTGCCTCAGCGTCCCGGGTAGCTAGGACTACAGGTGTGCACCATTGTGGGTGACCATCAAGTGCACTCTGGAGAAATGAAGCCCCTTTTCTTGATCTTTCTCTAACCTCTCAGTCAACCCTGTTCACTGAGATATGCAGAGGTGGTTATATTGAACCAGATGTTCACTTAATTGGCTAAAATAATGTGACTGAGTCTGGCTGAGGCACTAGTAGTCAGTCTCATTAACAGCAAAGTGGCAACAAGCAGGTGAGAACAGCCTCCATGTTGATGGGTGGAATGGGGCCCGAGCAAGAGCCTGTGAGATTCCAGGGCTACGACACAAGATAACATCTCAGATGAGGCCATGGGACTGAGAATGAATTACATCTTCCTGGCAGTAAAGGTGCCAGCCTTGCATATATCAAGTTATCCTTACATTGTTAATTAGAGGGGCCAGGGATGTAGCTCAGTGGCACAGCGCCTGCCTGGCAAGTGTGAGGTTGTGAGTTCAATTCTCAGCACCAAAAACAAAACAAAACACACACACACACACAAATATTGTTAATTAGAGGCCTCTGTTCCTGATACAAAATTGCTCTGTTTCTCATTATAGCTGACTCCTGCCAAGTTCTTTTTCCTATCATTCTGCCTTGACTTCCACCCACCTCCCTGACTGATACCAATAAAAGCCATGAGATTTTAGACATGATGCCTTTTGTTCTACAGAGAACATTGGATTATGGCAGAGCTCCTCAACTGCAGAACTTTCTCCGTCTTTATTTTGCATCTGCGTGCCATATTGCTGGATGGGTTGGACTGATGCTTTGTGGGGGTTTTGGTACACCATCACAACCATTTCTTGATTTCTGCCTTTCTGTGTGGATTTTATGTATGCTTACAACTATTTATTCCAATTTTTTTTTTTTGTCTCTTTTTGAGACAGGATCTTGCTCTGCAGTTCAGGCTGGTCTTGAGCTCACTTTGTAGCCCAGGCTGGTCTTGAACTTGCAAGGATCCTCCTGCCTCAGCCTCCCAAGTGCTGGGATTACAGGCGTGCGCCACCATGCCTTTCTGTGTGAACAGTGCTACTCCCAGAAATCCTGCTGTGCTTTTGAAATATAGCCTTTGCCCTTCAGAATTCTGGCTTTTTCTGGTAGCCATATGTTTGCTGCTAAGCTCCACTTCAACTGGTGGACTATCCTGTAATCATGATTCTACATAAAAGGTCAGTTTCTTTGTGCCACCTCCCTCTCCTCTAAGGTCAACCCTTACTTTTCTTGGGGCCTCATGGCATCTGTCTTGACCATCTGCCTCCCAATACCAACAGATGAACTGTGTTCTCACTGCTTTGACTCCCAGCCACAGTGACAGGTGTGCAGACATGGGCATTCAAGACACATGAAGGAAGGAACTATGCAACGCCACTTAAAGTGGCCTCATCTACAAAGTTTTATAGATTCACTGTGATGCACATTTGGGTAATGGCTGAATTACTGTGAGTTGTGTCACTTAAAAGTTCTGTGCCAGGTGTGCTGGCACATGCCTGTAATCCCAGCTACTCAGGAGATGGAGGGAGGAAGATTTCAAGTTCAAGGCCAGCCTGGGTAACTTAGGGAGACCCTGTCTCAGAATAAAAAAAAACAACTAGGGATGTTGCTCAGTGGTAGTGTGCCCCTGAGTCTAATCCCTAACACTGCAAATGAATGAATGAATGAATAATTAAAGTTTTGCTTTTTTGTACTAAGTGATGATAAGAACACCACAACTGATTAGGGTTGATTTATGAGCAGAAGTCTAGGCGAGGTAAGTGACCTTGAGTACTTTAGGCCCAAGTCACAGAAATACTACAGCTGCCTCATTGATGACAGGACCTTGTCAGAAAGGCTTGAGTTTTCCAGATGCTCCAAAAGAAGTGGAGGTGTAAAAAGCATTAGGATGTATTATGTACACGTCCCAACCCCTATAATGAATGTAATCATTACGTGCTGTAAACATGTACTAATAAAAATAAAACTTAAAAAAAAATAAAACTACAGTTGGATCTATGCTTTTCTAGCAGTGTTTGCTCTGTAAAGTCCTCTAAGAGCCTCAGAAGAGACACAGAGAATGTGGAAGCATGCTAGTCACAAGTCTGTCAGACTCCCACTCCTCCTACTGCTCCTGACTTTGTGCAAGCAGGATGTCTTAGATTAAAATGAGTGAACAAGGGGCTGGGGATTTAGCTCAGTGGCACAGTGCCTGCCTGGCAAGTGCAAGGTTGTGAGTTTTATTCCTGGTACCGGAAGAAAAACAAAAAAAAACAAAACAAGCAGGGCATGGTGGCGCACGCCTGTAATCCCAGCACTTGGGAGGCTGAGGCAGGAGGATCGCTGGGAGTTCAAGACCAGCCTGGGCTACAAAGTGAGCTCTAGGCCAGCCTGAACTGCATAGTGAGACCCTGTCTCAAAAAAAAAAAAAAACAAAAAAACAAAACAAAACAAGTGAACATTCTATCTTCTCCTGTGCTATAGGCTGAGTAATCCCTAATCTGAAAATCGGAAATGCTTCATAATCTGAAATTTTGTTTTGTGGTGCTAGGTACTGAACACAGGGCCTCATGCATGCTAGGCAAGTGTTCTACTGTTTGGCTATCCCTTAGCCCAAAATATGAAACTTTATGAGCATGATGTTGGCATTCAAAAAGTTTCAGATTTTAGAGCATTTCAGATTTTAAATTTTCTGTGTAGAGAAGTTCAACTAGTAATGTATACTCTATAACTTATACAACCATGAAATCTAAACATTTCTGGTCCCAAGCATTTTAGATGGGGTATGCAACCTGTAGGTAAATGTAGTCCAAGAAAAATCAAATTCCAGTTGAGGCAAAAGAGTGACAGATATTTTTGTCTTGTCTTTTCTTTTCTTTTTCTTTCCTTCCCCTTCCTTCCTTCCTTCCTTCCTTCCTTCCTCCCTTCCTTTCTTCCTTCTCTCTCTCTCTCTCTCTCTCTCTCTCTCTCTTTTTGAGGCAGGATCTTGCTATGCAGTTCAGGCTGGCCTTGAGTTCACTTTGTAGCCCAGGCTGGTCTCAAATTCAAAATGATCCTCCTGCCTCAGCCTCCCAAATACTGGAATACAGGTGTGTGCCACCACACCTGGCAAGAGTCACAGATATTTAAAACTAAAACTGAGCTGGAATATCTAGACTGAAGGTAATTATGACTCAACCAATGCACAAATAAACCCTTATAACTCTGGCTAATGCATTCAAGCCTTCCTCGCAGTTTCCTCTTTAAGCCTTCCAAAGACTCTACCGTCTGTTCTTTTTGCAATCCCCACAGGATCTTTCACTTACACTGGCAGGCTTGCAATAGTTTCCTAGTTTCTTCCCAATAGCGTCCCACATCTTCATCTGGGTGGTGTATGTACAGGCACACAGTCATTGTCTCTCCACCTAAGAGGCATGAATTTTACTATGCCTCTAAGCATTTTTAAAAAATAGCTCTCTTGGGTAGACTGCTCACCTAACATGTACAAGGCCCTGAGTTTAATCTCAGCTTCATTAAAAAAGTCTCCTCCCCTTTGCATTACAGAATTAAAAGAGATACAACTGCCAGGTGTGGTGGTGCATGCCTGTAACCCTAGCACTCAGGAGGCTGAGGCAGGAGGATCGCCATGAATTTGAGGCCAGTCTAGGCTACAAAGTTAGTTCAAGGCCAGCCTGAACTGCATAGTGAAACCCTGTCTCAAAAAGACAAAAAAAGAAAAAGAAAAAGAAAAAGAAAATATAGTTATACAACCTATATAATCACATTACATGAATCATTTCTGTGTTAAAAGGAAGAAATAGGCTACAAGACCAAAGGAACAGTATGATTACAATGATGAAAACACTAGAAAAAGGGAAAAATGAAATCTTCAGTATGAGTGCTATAGTAGGTAAAGTTTAGGCCTGAACGTTTTGGCTGTTCACCCTAAACCTACTTCTGTTACTTTATATCCAGATGGAGGAAGCTGAACTCACCTGCTATTGGGCTGAGGGGTGAGCATGCCATTCTGTTCAGCTGGGGTCTCTGCTGGTTTGGATTTGAAGTAATTGACGAGTCCACCAAACACACTCTTAATGCTGTTGATGTGCCTCTGGCTAGTCTTCAAGTCTTGATCCATTTTGTCTACCATCTTCTCTGTGCGTTCTAGGACTCCTCGCTGCCGGACTAATTCCTGGGAAGAACAAGAAGCAACTGCTTGATGTGACTTTCAATGTATTGAGGTCACAAGGATGGCAGTGGCAATTTAATGGAGACTCAATTTATGCAGAATTGGCAGCCTACATCAATGAAATGAATGTAGTAGTCAGGAACACAGAAAGGTATCCAGCCAAATGGTATGTGAATAGCCCTGCCCATATTCTTGTAGAGCTGATGGTTGTAGATGCAGATGTTAACTCACCACAACAGCAACACTAATGTGCTCCTTGATGTGTACCAAACTTGCTTCAGTTCCTACTTATTTTGCAGTGCTGAGGAGCAAAACCAGGGCTTCATGTGTGCTAGGCAAGAGTCTATCTCTCAGTTACATACCCAGCCTTCAGTCCTTAGTCTAGGATTTATCTGCAGTCATTCCAGCTGTCTCCCCTGTTAGCTGTCTTCTACCCAGAAGACTTTTTTTTGAGCCAAGGTCTCATTATATAGTTCAGGCTAGCCTTAAACTCACTCTGTAACCCAGGCTGACCTTGAACTCATGGCAATCTGCCTGCGTCAGCCTCCTGAGTGCTGGGATTACACAGGTGTGGTACCATACCTGGCTCTAAACAAATTTTAAATACATGCACTGAAAATTAAAAAAGATTCTTCTTTTAAATTCACAAGTTGAGACTGTCTCTTCTGGATCAAGGCAGAGTTACAAATTAGTATGGCAGAGAAAATGACTTTCTCTAGCATGTACTTGTCAATTTTAAGCTGATTTTGATTTCGCTCTTCCTCATTTTTCTACTTTTTTTCCCTACCCAGTACTGGGAAGTAAACACAGGGCCTTTATTTTTATTTTATTTTATTTTTTGTCTTTTTGAGACAGGGTCTCCCTACGCAGTTCAGGCTGGCCTTGAGCTCACTTTGTAGCCCAGGCTTGTCTCGAACTCACAACAATCCTCCTGCCTCAGCCTCCCGAGTGCTGGGATTACAGGCATGTGCCACCACGCCTGGCTCTCAGGGCCTTTAAATAAGCTACTTCCTCAGACTATTTTGAGACAGCGTCTTGCTATGTTGCTTAGACTGGACTTGAACTTGCAGTGATCCTGCCTCAACCTCCCAGAGTTCTGGGATTACAGGAAACTACCACCATGCCTGATTCTTTTTTTTTTTTTTTTTGGTGTGTGTGTGTTTGTGTGTGTGCTGCTGAGGACTGTACCCACGGCTTTATGTATTCTAGGCAAGGGTCTATCACTGAGCTACACCCTCAACCACTTAGTTGATATATACCTCTTTCTCTCTGCCTCTCTCTCTCGCTCTTTCTCTCAAGAGAACCTTGCTACGTAGTTCATGGTGGTCTTGAACTACGTAGCCTAGTCTGGGTTCAAATTCCAGATAATCCTTCTGCCTAAGCCTCCCATGTTCTGGAATTATAGATGTGCACTACCATGCCTGTTTGACATGTTTCTGACAGTCCAGTCTTAGCTTATTTTGTAGTAGGCAGAAAACATGAATCTGAGCTGCAAAGATCCTCAGAGCAGAAGTTGGGGCTGGGGCTTCAAGGGTGGCCAAAACTTACAAGGAAGGTCTCTGGGTTCTCTAACAGTGAGCACTTCCTACCTTGACTTATCTTGACTTTTCTTACAGCTCATTTCCCTGACTCAGCCTCTTCATTTCCATTTGGAAAGTTGCAGGGCTAACAAGTAGCTGACAAAACCTTCTCCAATTTGCAGTGAGATCTCATTTTCTTCTGCTTACAAGTAACACATTCTTTTAGACTCTCTGAGGCTCTGTGTTATGTTTACTTGTTGAGGAAACCAAACATCTGATGTGGTATAGAGAGATGTCTTGCTGAAGGCAGGGGGAAGGACTGCTGTCCTGGTCTCTGGAAGTTTGTGTGTGCTGGAAGCCGGTGTTCCCTAGAGGTTATGAAATCAACAGACGAGGAAGGGCTTCTGTTAAAATCTTTCCTTGGAAGGCAGAGGAAATTACTGAACTTGGTGTGTTGATCTAGTTCTAACTAACAAGGAAGAAAGGCTTGGTAGAGCAAACAGCAAGGAAGCACCACGGTTTACAAGAATGGGCTGGGCAAGCGCTGGCAGCCCTGGAAGCCCAGGCACTTTGAAGACAGGCCTCAAATGCTTCTGGTCCCAAGGCACGCTCCCATCTCCTAAAGCAGGCCACATCATATGTCTCCATCTGTCCCTATGGGAATAAGGTCACTGAAGCAACCAGGGTGGTTATGAGAGAACCAAGCTCTGGAAAGGGTCCTCTGTGTTAAGGTCCAACATACAAAGTGCTTACTTTACATTACAAGTGATCAGGTGATTTCCACCTTATTCCCCTGAGCCCCAAAAGTAGTTTTCTAAGGTTAAAACTGGAAAAACAAGGTCACAGAATGGGTCTGGTTGGGCTGGTGGTACAATGCCAAAGGCGGGGGGAGGAGGGAAGGAGAGAGAGAGAGGCTGGGAGATAAGGGGAGGGAGAGAGGAGAGAGAAAGAAAGATTGACTTTTAGATTCTTAAATTCTCTCTGGCTGTGGTTTTTTAAGTCAATGAACCTGATCCCTAAGAGAGCAAGGGGAAGCAGAAAACAAGTAGATAAAGATCCTGCGAGGGCCAAGGGTGCCTGAAGTAAGGTGACACCTGCCCAGATTGTTTGTGTTCAAGGTCACTGTGAGGAATTGAATGAGTCATGGGATCTTTGCCAGTACAATGCTTTTTAAAAACACCACAGAGCACTATGGGAGGCTGAGGCAGGAGGAGCTCAAGTTCAAGCCTGGCCTGGGCAACTTAGTGACTCAGTGAGACCTTGTCTCCAAATACAAAAAGGGGCTAGGGGTGTAGCTCAGTGCGAAAGTTCTGGGTTCAATCCCCAGTACTGCAAACAAACAAAACCAAACCACTGAAGAGTGGGTGCTATAAGATCTCCACCCACAGATGTTACTGAGCACATACTCTCTGCCAGCCATTCTTCCAGGTGTTAATGATTCAGGGGTGAACTAAACAATCCCAAAACTCTGTCTTGATGGTACTTGTAGTCTAGGGGACAAGATAAAGTTCAATCTGATTTTTTTTGGACAACACTAGAGAACTGGGATTGAGGAAGGCAGATGGGTCTTTGCTTCACTGAACTTACAGTCTCACAGGGGTGACAAGAAAGAAAGGCACTGTACACACACATGGTTGTTCCTTTGCCAGGGTGAACCCTTGGGTGAGGATTACTGGCCTGGTTTACGGCAAAGCGTGTGTCAGAGAGGGTCCCTGAGAAGGATGGAGTACAGACTTAAAGCTGAGAAGTTCGGGAGTGCAAAGGGTGGGGGTGGGAGTGGGGCAAGGGACGGGGCAGAGCAAGCAGCAAGAGCCCTGAACAGGCTGGGGCAGCTGCAGGAACCTACAGGGGAAGTGGAACTTTGCGGTGAGTACAGAAGGGTAATGGGTGGGGATCCCTGGCAGACCCCAGCAGGGAACACTGAGAAAGATGATGCTAAGACCTTCCAAGGACAGCAGTGACAACCAGATCCCAACCACAGCTTACAGCTAAGGCATCAACCCTGTACTATGATGAGTTTTTTTTTTTTTTTTTGGTACTGGGAATCGAACTCAGGACCTCATGTTTGCTGGGAAGGTACTGTGCAACTGAGCTATATCCCTGGTCCTCACCCTGTACTATTAGATGGGCCTCTTCATTCCTCTGGTACTAAAGTTCTTGTTCTGAGCTTGTAATTAAATAGGTACTAATTGGTCAGTAGATAAATGTTAATCTGGCACTGGTATCTAGACATTTGAGATTTATTTTTGTCACATCTCTCTCCTCCCAAGGGAGCATGCACATACACAAGCACTGGCATGGCCACCTGAGCACTGTGGAGCATTTGCAAACTCGGGGAACTTCTCCGAGTTCAGCAGCTGTGGTACAGAGTAGATTCAAACTCAAATTGGGTTTTAGGTTCCATAACAAAACCACTGAAGCCTGCAGGTATAGCTCAGTGACAGAACATTTGCCTAGCTTGTGTGAGGACTTGGGTTTGATTCCTAGCACTACAAAAAACAAGCTGGGCATAGTGGCACATGCTAGTAATCCCAGCCACTTGGGAGGCTTAGGCAGTAGGATCACAAATGTGAGGCCGGCCTGGGTACCTAGCAAGACCTTGTCTTAAAAAGGGGTGAGGGTGGGGCTGGGGATGTAGGTCAGTGCTCCCTGGATTCAATCCTCAGTATCACAAAAATAAACATCACTGAGGGGCAAAGATGGTGATGCCAGTGTCACCCACTCCATGTGTACAGGCTAACCTGGAGCTGAGTAAAGGACAAACTCAGCAGGTCTTGGTTGTTCATCCCTGTACAACCCAAATTTGGCTTTTGCCGGGTTCCTTGTCCTTGAAATATTCTGCCTGATAAGGATGTCTCTGACTTGACAGAGTGCTTAGGCCAGGCCAGGTAATTTATGTTAACACTGTGATTTTGGGTAGGGTCCTTGGGCTACACAGTATCAGCTGGATTTCTGAGACTAAAATTATCCATGTTGGAGTGACAGGACCCCATTGCCCTTAAACACACAGCATAAAGAGAGGACATTTTGCTGAGAAGAGTGGAAGTATAAAGCTGACTATGAGATGAATGAGACTGTTTCTCTCCAGCAACTGACATTTAGAAATCTATTGAAAAATTACTTAATCTAGTAGCTGTCTTTATCCCTCTATCACCCTTTTCTTTTCTTTTGTGGTACTGAAGCTTGAACTCAGGGCCTTATGCATGCTAGGTAAGCACTCTACCATTCAGGCCCTTTTTAAATTTAATTTGCTGAGTTGTCCAGGCTGGCCTTGAATTTGCTACCCTCCTGTCTTGGCATCCCAAGTATCTATCAACTTTTGTTAAGAAATCTGGTATATCAGGAGTAGGCTGCTCCAGACCAACTTTCTAGAAAATGAGGGTCTCACTCATGGCAACGTATCTACTCTAAATTACAGGGATATCCTGAGTAGATTACTTCAATGGCCATGACTTCTGAGCTAGGATGGGTGCTCTTGGCTCTCCAAATTTTTTTTTTTATTTTAAACCACTATGGGGGATTGACACAGGGTCTTGCACATGCTAAGTAAGCACTCTACCACTGAGGTACATCCCCAGGCCTCCTCTTCTTTTCTGAACTGAACATTCAGTGTGCTTTGGTGACAGTCAAGTAATAGAAAGACACTACTATGAGTGGGCCCATAAGGAAGATCTACCAGCCAGGTAGCTGAGCATATCATGCTTGAATGCTATCAAATACCAGTCCCTTTCCACTGATGTTGCTGTGGGAGCCATTTAGGCTCCAGTATGTCTCTTGGTGGCCCCTGAAAACTTTACTCGAGTATGCTAGACTGCAAGAAGGGAAGCAGAGGTGTCCTGTATAGGTGGGTATTCTCAGTCAGGACAGTGAAAACATATAAAAACCATGTCCACATAGAATGCAAACAGGCTCACCAGAAGTTGCAAATAATCCAATATTCATCATAAGGGAATGACTGCTTAAATATTAGTCATCTGCTCAGTGGAATACAATGTAGCCTTTAAAAACCACCCCCAAAACCTGGCATACATGAAATTATATATGTAATCCTGAGGCAGGAGGATCATAAAATGAAGGCCAGCCTAGGTCACTTAGCCAGAACCTGTCTCAAAATAAAAAATGAAAAGGGCTGGGATATAGCTCAGCATCAGAGACATGCCTATTATGGACAAGGCTCTGAGTTCACTCCCCAGGCATCACAAAACAAAACATCCTTGTACCAAACAGCTTATTATATATTACATCCTATTAAGCAATATACAGACTAGAATGCTTCACTTTAAATTAAAAAATAAATCTTTTTTGGTAGAAATAATAAATATTTTTGCATATGCCTGTAATCCCAGCACCCAAGAGACTGAACCAGGAGGATTACTAAAAGTTTGAGGCCAGCCTGGGCTACGTAGTGACTTCAAGGCCAGTCTGAACTACATAGTGAAACCCTGTCTCAAAAAAAAACAAATGGTTTTTATTCATAGATTATCTGAAAAAGCTGATGGTAACTGGCTACCTTAAGGGAAGAAGGAAGCTAAGGCCAAGGAAGGGGTAGGAGGAGATTTCAAATTCATTTGTATGTCTTGAACTTTGAACCATGTGACTGGAGTCCTTGTCACGAAAATTAAACTTTAGGGGAAAAAAAGACACATTTATCAAGCAGACAGGGAGTGAGAGTCCTATAAGCTATCTCTACAGTTCTATAAAGTGTTTACCAGGTGAGCCAGGTACCTGCCTTGTCCTGACTACTTCTCCTCTGACCTTTGGTGGTCATGACCAGTGGCCACAGCCTTTTCCAGAAACAAACACCGCCAATTCTCTTTTGTTAGAGGTGACTTAAGTAATTTTCCCACTTCTGCCAAGCTGAGACTGAATTATATAGTATCTGTGAACTCTTAATGTTCTATAAAAATGTGTCTTGCGTTTGGCATGTTTCACACTACTGGGTATACAGCAGGCACCCACCAAAGTTGGGAGGTTAGCAGGGCACCGAACTGGGGTACTACACTCTGAAGGAGTTCAGGTTCCCAATACTGAAGGGACTGAAGGAATGATTCACAGACAGTTGAAGAACATGGGGTATACTGGGAGTACAGATCATTGCTGACTCCCAGGGTCTCTAATAATGGAGAATTATTTAATCCTGGAAAAATTCAGTAAGTAATCACCTTGGGAGACAGGCTACTGCCTGGCTAGTTGTATTGTACTTCAATGAGCAACACTCAAGTCCCCTATGGCAGAGGTGTCACCCTGCCTCACCAGTCACAGTCCCCACTTTGGAGGAGGATAAGGCACAGACCCACCATTTATATTACACAAATATAATTATATTTGTGTTTTTGCCTCCTGAGTTATGAGACCAGACCTTTCTCTCTTACTTCCAAAAGCTCCTAAACTCCCTCTTCTTTGCTCTTTCTTTGAACACATCCTGTCCATCATGTCCCTGCACAAAAGCTCAGGAACCTCATTGTTGGGCCAACACATTCACATATTTCTTGCTCCTGCTTGGATCCTTCATCTTCACACCTCATGCCTAAATCTCAGCCTTCAAAGCCAGATTCAAGTTTATCCTCTATCACAATAGCTTAGTTTATATCACTCTGTTCTTCATTCCTTTTTTTTGAGTCAGGAATCAAACTTGACCTCATATTTGCCAGACAAGAGCTGCCCTGCTGAGCTATATCCCCAGCCCTCTTTCCTTTTCTCTCTTTCTTTTCTTTTCTCTTTTTTAGACAGGGTCTTGGTATGCAGTGCAGACTGGCTTTGAACCCACTATGGAACCCAGGCTGGCCTCAAAACCATGGCAATCCTCCTGCCTCAGCCTCCTGAGTTTCTGGGATTATAGGCATGTGCCACCAAGACTGGCCACTCTGATTTTCTACTTCATTTTTTTTCTCATAGTTTCCAGAGTTGTCTTTTCAAATAGTTCTTAGTTGACTTCCTTGGGCTTGGGAGCCTCAAATGACAAGTTCACCATGGCCTTAAAACCTCAGGTGATCCTTCCAATTCTAAGCCAACACTTCCCATTTGGCCTGGAATATGGAAAACTAGTACACAGGAGAGGCAAGAAAAACAGACAAAACTTCCTCAAAAAGACTAAAGGCAGGAAGGTAGATCAACGATGGATAATGTTACCAGAGAAATGGGGAAAGGAATAACCTAAGAAAGCAGCAATGGGGAAGCAGCACAGATGACATTTTGAGAAGTTAGTCTACGCACTCGCACTTGTCCAACTCCCTGAGTGATCAGATGAGAATGAATTTTGTCCAAGAAGAGTTATGAAGAGACCTAATGAGGAAGACAACACTTTAATTGCAAGCATTACATTTCAAAACTACAGAATATGTAAAATTATTCTTAGCTGATATATCAGTGATCCATTTGGTAAATCTTTTTGCTTTTTTCCCCAAACTGGGTAGGGTGGCACATGCCTTTAAACCAGCACTTTGGAGGCTGAAACAGGAGAGAATCTCCCATTTAAGGAGCTCTGGGCTATGCAGAGAAACTCTGTCTAAAAACCAGAACAACTTCCCCCGCCTCTGTTCATACAATAATAGGCTGAGGAAAGAATGTGGTAAGAATAATCCTGAGAGTCCTAAGCTAAAATCTATGGATGGAAAGACTTGACAAAGATGAACTGGGGCAAGACACTGTTACAACTCACATGCCATCTGTGTAGAATTTGGGAAATGAAAGTAAAGCCCTAGGCTCAACCAAACTGAGGCTTTGGCTTATTCAGCAGGTGTGCAGAGGGAACTTCAATATTGCTACTAATGCTGTGGAGAAGTGGTGAAGGATCGGGTAAGAACTCAATGCCACTCACCACCTGACTCTTGCAGCACACAGTCCTCACTCTTTCTGGGTCACTCCAGAATAAAGCATTATTACCCAAGATATTATGTAGAAGAAACAGGCTCTGATGTTTGAATTTTTCTCACTTGGACGAACAGTCTGAGTTTACGTTTAAACTAGACATAGAGGGGGAAAAACTAAGCAGAGTAACACATAAGAAAGATTTTCTAGGTAACCTGTCCCTTTCAGTACTCCAGGAACATCTCTTCACATAGTTAAGAGATTATTACAAACCATAGAGGCAGTAAGTATAAGAAGCTATTAGTAGTCAATTCGAAGGTTCTCTAAAGATTGCGAAAAAACATTTTTCGACCGCGTTTGATAACACAGAGGCTGCCCAGTTCAGCTCCGTCCTGCCCCAGGCTCACCTCAGATGAGGCGACCCCGACCTTCTCGGACTCGTACATGAGAGACAGAGACCGGCTGGTGCTGGCAGCTGTGGCCTCGGCCCTGCGCAGCACCTCCTGCCGCAAGTACTGTTGCCTGTCTTCGGCCGCGGCGGGCCCGTCAGGGAGGTCACGGGCGTCCCTGAACGAAGCCGGCCGCGTATCTTCGTCCTCCGCATCGTCGTCGAAAGGGTTGTAGCTTCTCGGGTATGCCGACATATTGCCGACGGTAATCAGGGTCGGAAAACCAGAAGGAACGAGATCAGTCACCAACCCGCTAGCGCCACGCCCCGTCTGTCTACTCGGGGGCTGCCGGGCAAGCTCCTTCCGCGCTTATTACGTCACAGTCCCGCCTCTGGGGCCAACCATAGTGGACGGTAACTAGGGGTGAGAAGCGTCCGCCGCACGAAAATCCGGCCTATCTCTTCGCGCCTCTTCCCCCCTGCATCTGTGGGACGGCCCCCACGGCCACGCCCCACCCAATGTCAGGACTGGACAGGTCACGTGGCAGGGCAGCAGGATGCGAATGCGCTTGCGCCCTGAGGTCCGGCGCTCGCGGGCCGGGTGCGGTGAGCCGGGTGGCAGAGGCGCTGGGCGCGCGATGATGGCGGCGGCCGCCGGGGCCCGGGGAGCCGGAAGCGGCTCCGGCTCCGGCTCCGGCTCCGGCTCCGGTTCCAGCGCCTCTCGGGGTTTTTATTTCAATACAGTCCTGTCACTGGCCCGCTCCCTGGCCGTGCAAAGACCGGCATCCTTGGAGAAGGTAACCCGGGCGGGATCGGCGGCGGCTGACAGGAGGCGGGGCCTGTAGCGAAGGAGCGGGAAGGCGGGGCGAGGGATAGAGGGCGGCCGAGTCTGGAGTCGTAGGCAGAGAGGGTCCCTTAAGGGGACAGTTTGGGGAGGTGTGGTGGTCCATGAGGGCAGGGGTGGTGAAAAGAGTAGCTAACCTCTGAGGGGTCAGCAGGGTGGGCGGTGACGCTGCGGATGGGTGGGCGGAGGCGGCGTCTTGTGACTTCGCTGGCGCGGCGACTGGAACGTGGGCGCCGGTGGGGAGCAGTGAGACTAGCCAGGGACTTCGGCTTCAAACCTGGTCCTGATTTCTCCTGATTTTTATTTCTTGACCTTGGGGAGATATCTTGTGAAACAGGGGTGCTTTTATGTGACATGCTTTGTCCTCTTCGCCCCATTGTGGTGGAGGGCAGATGAATCACTGTGTCTGAAAGTGCTTTCTGGACTGCAGACCGACTGTACGTTATTATTTTACGAGTTTGAGGCCGTTGGACTTGCTAAAAGATGGTGTGTTTGGAGGAGGGACAGTGGCAGGGATGGGGCTGTGAACTGTCAGTGGGCAGAACTGAGCTGCGGTTGCTTCAGAAGAGAAAGAATTCCTGCAGGAGGAATCCTTATCTTATTCCCGAGATGAAGGGGAACTCAGATGTGCCTGGTATGGTGGAAAGAACAGAGATTTTGGTACTTCCCTGTCACTTACTGTACATCTTAGGCAAGTTACTTCAATTCTCAGAGCCTCTGTTTCCTTGTCTGTAAAGTGTAGTTTTGCTTGAGGAGTAAGTGAGTTTTGATATGATTTGATTTGGTTTGATTTTGAGACAGGGTCTCACTGTCTGGTGCGGGTTGACTTGAACTCACTGTGTAGCCCAGGCTGGACTCCAGCTTGCAGAAATCCTCCTGCCTCGGCCTCCTGAGTGCTGGGATTACAGGTGTGCACCACCACCTGGCAGTGATGAGTTTAAATATAAAATGCTTTGCTGAGTGCTAGGCAAGAGTGAATGAAAAGTAGTCAACTTTCTTTGCCCACCAGCTTGTGATAAGAACTCAGCACAGTGTTAGCACTGAAGGGGTAAGGTTGTTTGTCTTCTCAGCTTTTTTTCACATGGAAGAGGACGTTTTTTCTGACAGGATAAGAGCAATGACGACTGCAGACTGGTGGAGTTGGGTGTGGTTTTGTGGCTCAGGTGATAGATGAAGCTGAAAGGCTGTTCTGGCTGGACAGAGTGACCTAGTCCTTAGCTTGGTAGGGTTTCAAGTGTGATTTTATTACTTACCTTAGGATGAGCAAGTCCTGGGAGACTGATGCCAGCCTGAATACTAGCTAAACAGAGTACAAACTGGGCATGGTGGGATGTACTTGTAGTTTCAGCTACTCAGAAAGTTGAAGCAAGCCGGAGGCTAGTATGAGGCCAGGAACTCAGGGTCAACCGGAGCAACATAGCAAGACCACCTCTCTTAAAAAAAAGAAAAAACCACATGCAGTGGCCTCAGCGGCTGAACCCCAGAGGTTACAAGCTCAAGCCTAGCTTGAACAATTTAGTGAGACCTTGTCTCAAAATTTAAAAATAGAAAAGAGGACTGGTGATGTAGCTCAGTCTTTCTGAGTACAATCCCCAGCCTGCTCCATCCATAAAAAAGTACAATAGACCCCAAAGAACATGAATTTGGATGATAGAACCATCTGGTAAGTCCCACTCTGATCCTCTAATTTCACCTTTTTTTTTTTTTTTAAAGCAAGTACTTGATCAGAATATAGTGAAGATCAACAAGATGACATAAATAAAGGCAGGTCTATGGGTATCCAATGTCCTTAGAAGAGGCCACGTATTATGGACCAAAGTGCTAGTTTATTGAATTAAACTCATGCCTACTACTAAGCACATTTTCTTCTTGGTAGGAAGACCAACAAGCCTATCAGAAATTTGATTGATTGATTCAGGGAGAAAATAGAGCTCAGGGAATTGGATGTTCTTTTTTTTTTTTTTCTTTTTGAGACAGGGTCTTGTTGTGCAGTTCAAGCTGGCCTTCAGTTAACTTTTAGCCCAGGCTGGTCTCAAACTTGCAATGATCCTCTTGCCTCAGCCTCCCGAGTGCTGGGATTACAGATGTGCACCACCACACCTGGCTGATTGTTCTTTAAGATGATGGTCCTATAACTGTAACCATGGTAGTATTCTTTCCCACTCTTAAAAGTGCACTTTAAGCTCAACTTGCCTTTTGCCTTCCCCACTAGTAACAAGTGCACTATGGGGGTTTATGATATGGCTTAGTAATACAGCATATGCTTATTGAGATTATGATATATTTTACAATTAATACTGCCTCAGGTTGACAGCTCTTTAATGCCACTTACTTTGGAAAGTGCTTTAGTCTTACTGACAACATTTACCAGTCTTCTGTGAAGAAGTATTAACAGAGCAGGTCTGAGGTGGCTGTCTTTACAAGTGCCTGCTTGCAGGTTTGGCCTTTGGTCATGTGGGAATTTAGCACTTAAAACTGTTACCTTCATTCCCTAACCTCATGAGGGTGGTTCACTGTGCCTAGATTCTTCGTATACACCATATGATTTATGTCAAACGCCTGCTTTCCTTCTGGGAGTTTGGATTTGTTTGTTTGAGATAGTATCTCACTATGTTGTATAGGCTAGCCTTGAACTTGCTATGTATCCTAGGCTGCCCTCAAAGTCTTGATCCTCTAGCCTCAGCCACCAGAATGCTGGGATTACAGGCATCACCACACCTGGCTGGGAACTGGAAATGTTACTAGCCTTCAATAAAAACCTTGGAAGGTCCTGAGTTCGATTCCTAGAAAAAAAAACAAAAACAAACTTGGATGCTGAGTATTCATTGAATTTCTCTGGGTGCAAACATTGCACACATTTTTTTTTTTTTCTTTTTTAAAGACACTATGCAGTTCAGGTTGGCCTGGAGCTCACTTTGTAGTCCATGCTGGTCTTGAACTTGCAACAATTCTCCTGCCTCAGCCTCCTAAGAGTGCTGGGATTACAGGCGTGGGCCACCATTCCTGGCGTGCACACATATTGTACTTTTTGCTATTGTAGCAAGAAACAAATCGTTGTTTACCCTGCTGGGCATGGTGGCACATGCCTGTAATCCTAGCACTTGGGAGGTTGAGGCAGGAGGATCGTTGCAAGTTCGAGACCAGCCTGGGCTACAAAGTGAGCTCAAGGCCAGCCTGAACAGCATAGCGAGACCCTGTCTCAAAAAGACAAAAAAAAAAATTGTTTAACCTCACAGGACAGAGAGAGCATAATGAAGCACTTGCATTGGTTCCTCAGTATAATACCTCTGTCTTTTTCCCTTGCTGATGGCCTCTCACTATAATAAAATTTAGCCATGTCTACAATAATATATGTATAGGTGTTCTTGGGAACTATTGAGGCAATTTATTTTGTGGAGGGGGCTTTTGTAGGTGGCTAATCCCATCAAATATATGTGAATTCCTCTCATCCTCATCTAGGATCGTTTTTGGACAAGGTCTCACTTTGTAGGTCAGTCTGGCATTGAACTCGCAGTTATCCTCCTGCTTCAGCTTCCTGAGTGCTGGGATTACAGGTGTGTGCCACTATGCCTGACATCATCTAGGATCTTGGGACATGCTAGGGATCACTGTTACTATGTAAATAGTTTTGTAATATGTGTCTGCTTACTGCATTCCTCTGTTTTAAAACAGTTGGCAGAAACATTTCCTAAGGAAAAATTCTTGAGGTTCTTGAGTATGGCAATTTCTGAGTATTCAACTGGATTAATGAAGATAGAGACTTAAGAGGGAGATGGTTGTTAAAAATGAACCCTCACATTTTTACTTTTCTTTCTTTTTCAGAGAGTTGCCAGAGGACTGAGAGAGGCTTAGATCAGTCAGACAGGGTTGACCTGGGGAAGGCACAGTTTGCTGGTTTGGACCTGACATCTGAGTTCAGATATTGGTAACGTAGGCAGCCCTGAAATGCTTTTAGTGGCAGTTGAGGCACCTTAATAACATACCTTTTCTACTTTTGTTCCTCTATATGCCACAGTTATGTTTACTTACTCTAGTCTCCACTCTAATCTCAACTCATGACACCAAGCCCTTACTCAGTAGATTGTTTTTTCTCTAGTTACTTCATTTACTCTTTCATTCAGAAAATGTTTATTGAACTGCTAAGGCCAGGTAAACAAGAAATACTAGTCTTAATTTGAGATTGCTCAGGTGACCAGCAAGTTAAGACTTTTTGCCAGTTCCCATCTACTGTCGTATTCCAGGCGTGGCGAACAGACGCCTGTTGTGTTCAGATAGCTAAACCTTTGGACATCTGTCCTCTGAGTTTTTTTTTTTCCCCAGTACCGGGAATCGAACTCATGACCTTGCGCTTGCCAGGCAGGTGCTGTGTTGCTGAGCTAAATCCCCAGCCCCTGTCCTCTGATTTATATCTGTGCTTTTATGTTTTCTTGCTAGGTTGCTGCTAAGGCTGGAGTTTCCCTGCTGAAACTCACCCCTAGGGTTAGTTCTGCCTCAGGACCTTGTGAAGCCTCTGCCCTGTCCCTCAGGTG